GTTAATCGCTGGATAAACAAATCATGTGATTTGCTAAACGAATCAGTTAGTTCATCCAGCAATTAACAGGCATTTTACTTTTTGTTTCACTGCATCTGAATGGGATTTGTGTATAAGTTTAGCATTTCCTGCTTGTTAATTGAACTTTAATCACACACAGAAGGTTGTTGCTGGGTCTAGTAGTCTATGAATAGAGCAGGAGGTAATACATTCTAGATTAATCACAATGTGCAATATGATAAACTAAAAAAGAAAAAAAAAGTAGTCTCTTTGTCAGAAAGTTTGAAAGGAGACTGTGTGAGTCTCAGATGTGGTGTGGCTAGAGATGCATAAACAAAATTAATTTACCCATAAATGGCAGATAATTGAGCAGTGAGGATGCAGGGACATGATCTATGCACCAAAACTACTTCATTAAGCTAAAGTTGTTGTGGTGCTTAGTGTCCCTTTATTAAGATTACTGATGGCAATACTCTTGTAAACTGTACTAACAGCTTGTAACCTATAATAATATATAGATATGTATACTGTATATCTTCATAATCTATATTTGTTCTTCATGACTGATGTGTTATTCTATTTCTTTTCTGAAGACTTACAACAAGAAAACCCATTCTCGAAGGAAAGATTACCAGAATGGGTCTGTTAGTGCAGTGAATGGGCACACAAACAGCTTTTCTTCCCTGGAGAACAATGTGAAGCAGCGTAAACAAAGAATGGATTGAAGGGAAAGCTAAGTCACCATTCAAGTGCACCAGATGCTACAACATCAAATTTCAAGCACAGCGTAAACTGTGTGCTGACAGCTACTGTAACTATTCCTGATTAAAATAATGTTATTAACAGCTCTAGCCATTATAGAAATGTTGTAGAGACATTAAAAAGTAGGTTACCCAACTAGCAGAACTTAATGGTTCTTCTCACAGCTCAGCCATCTTGTATTACTAATGACCTAGCAGCAGAACAAAGTAACAGGTCCCTTCCTGCAACACAAAAATTAATTAATTGCCTGTACATTATACCACGTGGGGACAGTTGTCTACGGGTGACAGACGGGAAGGGGGTGCACACAGCACTCCAATGCTGTCTGCCTCTTTGTGGAATGATCACGTAGTACCTGGGTATATAATTTCATTATCCTCTACATGGGTCTAAAAGGAAGGGAGCTGCAACACGTGTACTGGCAGCGGCTACGGAGTTATATGCTTCCCACACCTGCTGCCTGGTAACGGGCACACGTTGAGGAGGAAGCAGGAAGGAGTCACTGCATCGCTACCACTAGACACCAGGGACTGTAATTTGAACCTTTGCACCTCCCCCCCAGTGGGGCCCATAAAGGGATACTTTTGTGATTATGTTTCTGTATGTGTGAATGCAGGTCTTTTTTGTGTGTATCTGACTGTTTGTATGTGGATGAAAGTATGATTGCATGTCTGTGCTTTTATGCATGTCACTGTGTGTTTGTAGGAAAACAAAAAAGGGTAAGAAGTAAAGGAGTGTAGAGATAACGTTGAAAGGGGGTTAAGAAACACATTAGGTTAAAGGGGGGTTAAGAGAAACACACAAAAAGAATAGACACAAAGGAATGAGAGGGTGCGGAACATCACACAAAAGTTTAAATTGGGAGGGGCTGGGGGAGGTGCCAAGAGATCTAGGTACACCTACATCTGTACAAAATATCCATTTGCCACGTTATCTCATCGTGATCCTGTTTAAAGCTGTTAAGTTGAGGTAACCGTCTTATAATTCATACTTAGTTTATAATTCATACTTAGTTAATATTAAGTTTTAAACCATTCAATTCTTTCCTATTTATTTTCAGTATAAATATGTTTCTCTAGTTTTTTTTTTTGTTTTGTTTTTTAATTCTGGTGTCTACATTCTGACAACTCTGTTAGAGTATACTGTTGAGCCGATTAACGCAACTCACGCACAGTACAAATTGTAGTGTGAGTGGGCTTTAAACCTCACAAGAGGTGCTGCAGGGAATGGGCTTGTCATGCCCTTTTTTCAGAAGACACCCTTGGTTTCAATAAACCACAGGCATTCCTTTAGCATCTAATTCCCTAGTTATGCTTAGTGTAACTAGTATATTTTTAGGAATCCTCAATACATTCACTGCTGCTAATCTCCTCTCCTCTTAGTGTCAGAAAGGCCAACAGCTAATATTATAGCCCTCTAAAGCACTGAGTGGGTTGATGATTCAGTAACTGTGCTCATGTCACCCTTGCTGTAGACTGTGGATAAAAGTATTATTGTAGTAACACTGCTGTTGCCTTACTAGTTAATATGATAGGTGCTGAATAGCAATTTATAGATTCCAAGTACTGCTCATTTTTCTAACACAGGATGCCCGTATGTTTGTAGGTGTCATTTGTATTGTATAGTTATCAATGGTTATATAAACATGCCTTAATAAGACAACAGTTAAAAACCCAGAGCCCAAAGGTTGCTACAGGTTAGACTAGGGCTTGGATACATCAGCTCTTTGCTTTTATTGAACTGTGGCTGTCATCTGACTTGCTAACTTTTGCCAACTGTAGTCCAACAATAGCAGAATTCCTGATTTTGCCCAGCCGTGGGTTAATAAACAATGACCACTCAGCGTCTTAGCTGTTATTTGTTTTTATTACTTTTCAATTTTATTTTCATACATTTAAAAGTGATGGTTAATGACTGCAAAAAAAAAAGATTAAATTACTTGCTTAATAAAAGCTTTTGTATTATTTAATTTCAATTGAAAGTGTGCCTACAAGCCATTGGGAATAACCTGCTAATGTTTTTATATAGAGATATTTAGATATATAGCATATCCAAGTTTAGTGTTCGGTTAAGTCTTTGCTTAAACAGCAAATTCAGTTTAATTGATGTAAAGGTATTTGCACTCAAGGGTAGCTTATGACCTACAGCATACAGGTAAGTCCATAGATGCTATATGGATCACCAAGGCATTGCAAACTTTAAAAAAAAAAAAACGTCCAACAGTCACACTGGGGTTTATTTAACTCTATCCATGTTTGATAGTCCATCACAAAATACCCTATAAAAGACTGTTTGAAGCACTGAAAGATGTTTCATTTAAAACACTGTCTCCCCCTAATGGCCACAAAAGGCAATGCATAATTTCTTATGTAGTTTCTATGATGTAATCTGTTAAACCTGCCGTCTTTATACATTGTTGAATATTCACCTCAAGCAATTGTCTATGTACTGTAACAGTATATTTTGACTTTGTTTTTTTTTAATATAAGGGTTCATACATCTCAAGTGGTCCAGCATAGCTTGCTCAACTCAACTCGACTCAACTTTTATATAATTACCTGTGTGTTTTGCAAAACCACGAGTTTTGCATTTTTATTTTAATTGTTTTAACCCCGGTGGCCATCTTTGAGTAATGGCACACATCAAATGTTGGTTATGCAGATGTTTACAGAAAATGTGATTTCTTAGCTCTGTAGACCAAAAACTCAATACCACATTACAAGGTACATATACACACATTTTGTGAATTCTTGTTCTTTAGAATTGTAAATTAATACCCAATGTATTTATTATTAGTAGCATTTACATAGCAGCAACATACTCCACCACACTTTACAATTATAGAAAGGGGTTATTTGAAGAAGGCCCTGCTCGAAGAACTTTACAATCTATGAGGATTTTAGATAGGTGGTTATATCAGGTTACTTTCCCAGTGACATTTACTGATGAGGTGGTCTGTTTGGCAGTGACATTACCACTGCTTCCATAATTACTGTAAAAATACTGTTCATTATTATTATTTGTTATGCTTATAATATATCATTACATCTGGTTATTTCTGAAAGTACATGAATAAAATTGGAATTTTTTTTACAGATTTATACATAGTGATGTATCCAAACATTATATTTTTACCGTAGAATGAGGACTATTAGTGGAAATTTTAGGTTCCTATCTGATAATGCAACAAGGATATTTAACCTGAAAATTAAGGGAAATTTAAAAAAATTATACTTTCTAGCCTCTTAAAAGAAGAACGAAAGAGAAACGTCAGACCTAAAATGTTCTTTATGCACCGTATACTTACCCAGGTACCAGCTACCAAAAATTTAGTTTTTAATGAGAAGGGTTTCAGTCTCAGACCTAGAATTTTAGGACTGAGACTAGAACCCTCCCTTTCCATTATAAACTGACTTTAAAAGTGGAACTTATATCGATCTTAAACATTCAATTAGGACTTTAGTCAAAGGAACAAGAATGTGCAAAATGTTTAACTATGTACATGTCCATTGCAAAGAAATCTATAGGTTAGTTTTGGTCCAAGGAGCTAGGACCATCCTGAGCTGAAATATTGAGGTTTCCGTAAACGTCTGTTCAACCAAAATTTGTTGTGAGCTATGAGTGAAATATAAATAAAACACTTGTGATTTTGCAATACCAGTACATTGAGGTAATCACTCAAAAAATAGAAAAATAAAAATGGTCAAACATCCAAATTTACAATTATTTAACCACTTGAGATAGACTGACCCTAAACTTAATGCAAGAAGGGATGATTAAATATTTTAACGCAACATGTCTCAGTCCCTGCAGTGAGTGCGTTAGTAATAATGCCACGGAAGTTGTATGAACATATTTGTATGTTATTTCTTGAGTTTCCTGACATCTGCCACCGGCAACATCATTTATAAAACACATATAATGTGTGTCTGTTAATATATTAAAATCCAGAAGAAAAAAAACACATTTCAGTGTGATGGTGTATTTTTTATTATATTAATAGAGAAAGAGAGAGAAAAAAAGTGAGTTTGAAAGACACACACACACATATATATATATATATATATATATATATATATATATCCAAAACAATAAATATTTTATGTATGTGATGTTTCTAACAGTTATCAGGATTTTAAAGTATTTATCAGGATTTTGCAGGAGTATATTATTTCCAAATAAACAGAGAAACAGCCATAGACTGAACACAGACAATTAATCAAAAACTGACCTACATCATACATGACTAAGGTCTTTAGTCAAAAATATTTTATCTTTTTTTGTTCTTTTTGTGATGCCTGTGGAATTCTACTTGTTGTTCCTGGTGGGCTGCTGACCTCCCTCCACAGAGCTCCTGCATAAATGCACTTGTGTGCAGCACTCCTTTGACTTTATGACATACATCTTTGTCAGGCCATCTTTGCTAAGAATCACATATAGAGATCTTTTGAATCCCTTAGCAGATTTTATTCGCCTCTGTAATAGTCCAGTCATAATAGCAGCTACCACTTAATCTGGTCATTTTCTCTATTAATCTGCTGCTTACATAAGGCCCAACTTTTGGATATTATATGAAAAGAAAATATATATTATTATATAGGCTGTTTCTAGATGGAGTGTATACCCATGTCAGACATTTTGTTTAAAAAAATATACAGCTTCTCAAAGTATATAACAATTCCGATAAATGCAAAGCTCTGAAAGGCAAATGTGAATCTTTATCTAGGGTAGATCACAGAGCAGGATTAAACATAGGGTGTCCTTAGGCAGCCATCTAGGCCCCAAGATTTATGCAGGCCTCGAAACCATGAATTTGCTATGCACAACTGCCATCCTTATGTGACAAATGAACAGGGGGCATAGTCTACAACAGTCTGAATCCTTCAGTATTCACCCACCTAGGCCGAAGGCCGTGAGGAGATTCCCTCCGACGCATTGTCCACACAGATGGAAGACTATCTGCCATAGGCAGCTACAAGGTCTTCTGTTTCTAACAGAACTTGGACTCTCAGTAGCCCCGAGTCTGGTTTACAGATGCCAGCCGTTGTAGGGGCTTGGGGGAGGAAGTTGACCATGCCTGCTTCCAATAGTGATGCCAACTTCTTTGTCCAAATGTGTTGCCTATGCCATTTCCCACTCTGTTTGTTGGTTAGGGGGGATGTCACATACTTGCCCAGTCCTACTGCTCCCTTTCAGTGAATTCCTTACTTGCAATGAAAGCTATTTTACTACTTAAACATTTATTTGATATCTAATGCTGTGTGTCATTTATTTTCTTATTTTTAATTTCCTTTATGGTCTCCATTTTCAGTTCAGTGTATCACAGTTTTCCAATAACGAGCTCATGCCCCAGGGGTTTCCCTATACATTGGTACCTCGGTTTACGAATTAAATGCGTTCTCCGAGATGTTTCTTACAACGAAAAATTTGTAAACCGAAGCGAGGTTTCCCATAGGAATACATTGAAAACCAATTAATCCGTTCTGGAGATAAAAAAATAAATAAAAATGAGCTGGCATGGAAACCAACCTACAATCTAGAACACACAGTAAAAGGCATGCAAACGACGGAGCTCAGCTCCCTACCTTTCCACCACTTCAGAAATGCACCCAAAAAGTCCCAAAACCCCTGCAAAAAATTTCCAGAATGGCTACAAAACTTGATGAAAAAGCCGCTCCAACAACTCCATAATCAACGCCACATGCTACCCACAGACTCCAGCATGCACAGGGGCAGCGCTATAAACCTCCCAGGCGCAATGCATCCTGGGGAAACTTGCTTTGTAAAAAATTTGTAAACCGAGGCATTATTTTCAATGGATTTTCATTTGTAAGCCAAAAATTATGTTAACCAAGGCGTTTGTAAACCGAGGTACCACTGTAATATGTCCAGTTTCAATAAGAGTTATCTCTCTAAACCATCTCATCTGTTTTGCAGCTATATTCTTAACTAGTTATCTATATGCCTAGTTAATTTTATTCATTTTAGCATTATTTAGCATGACTACAAGATTACAATTAATATTAGCTTTATTTAGGTATGATTTTTTATTTTTTTTTAACCGAGACGATAGCATGGCAAATGTCTACAGTTCTGGACATGTATGCCTAGCCTGTTCCTATTCTCCTTATTATGTCAAAAATTGAGCCGATACCTATCTCGTCATGCTTGATGTAATGCTCTGTTTACTCCTGGAATGCATGATGTTGCTGTTGTGGCACCGCACGCCTATTATGTATTCTCATGCACACAAAAAAAAATAGGGGTGACTACAAGTTCCTGATTTCAAAATATATTATGTGGTATGTGTGATAAAGTGGGCATATGGTGAGGCACTTAAACAATGGAAACAGATTGAGAATTACTTGGAAGATGTCCCTCTCTTGAATCGATCTTTGACTACCACCTGCCAGACGCAGAGAGCTGGTGAGTGTATAACCTTGTGTTCGCACCGCTTTGCAAATCTGTCAATCCAATGCCCAGAAATATATATTTTTTTGCCATTCATTAATAATCCCTCCTGCCTGGATCCCAATGGACTATGCCCACAAATAGGAGCCGCTATACCAGCGGCTTATGATGTGGTTTCTGCTGTGAGTTTTTTTTAAAACTTTTTGCTCACTCTGCGGGGAAGAAGTACCCTTTTTGCAATGATTTAGAAATTTTCGAAAATACATTTTCAGAATTCCATAACAGCACGTACTTCTCGTGATCTGACTTTATTTGAATTTGTGTGCAAAACTCAGTGTACCTTACACTGATACCCAGTGGCAATAGATTTGTGAATTTTCACACAATTGTTAAATTTTTGGTAAAACTCAGAAATCCTATACAAAATGCTGTTCTTATTGTAGAACACAAACCAGTTCGTGGACTCAATAGATGCTAACCAGAATAACCGCTGCTGAAACTGCTCTGCGGTGCCTGGCATCTTTCTCCACATCAATTGGGACTGTCCAACCACATGCCTCTTATGGGACAATATTCACAATATTTTAAAGCAGTTCTCTGACTCCCCTTGACCTCTGGCCCCAATGCCCATGCTTCTCCACAACACTACTACTACCACCATTTCCCACTATAAGAACTCACTCAAGGTTCGTGTTTTGAATGTTGCCAAACCATTGATTACCTTTTTCTGGAGACAACAAATTAAGTTTGGGGTTCACCAAAATAGAGAAGCTCTGCTTAGCTGAGGAATCCCCTATGAGTGTGGATCAACAAACCTGTCCTGTGTGAAATCATTTGATTGCTGGGAGGATTCCAGCACCGAGAAGGTAACCCTGTTATTGCATCTATTGTACTGCTATAAGTATGATGAAAATCAGTATATCCATTCCATATATATCCAGATACAGAGGTAAAGGGAAAGTGTCACCATAGTACACCTCTGCCCGAGTGATTTTAGCCTATCCTGTGGGGCTCAGTTAAATGTGAGTGTACCAATATTGAGTAATATCCTCTGTATAGTACTGGAGATTCTAGACAATATTAGTATTTTTGTCATTATAGGACGTTACAACTTACCTAAACTATAGGGTAAGTGACCACATTTCTAGCGCTCCACTGTTTCACTGGGGTGGGTGTATATACCACACAGTGAAGATTTTTTGGTTTTACTTGCAGTGAATGTGAGGGACATTCAGACAGAGGTAGTAACAGCTCACTTATACATTAAAACTTTTCACTGTCTAAGCGCCTGTAACACAAACTCATCGTTTTTGCATATTACATTTTTTACTGCTGTAGCACAAAACAATTCAACATCCATTATGTAATGCAGAGTGTATAGTGAAATGTAACAGTGTCTGTGTTTCTGTAAGAATGCAGTGTGGGTTTTGTATGCAGTGTGTGCGTGTGTACAGTCGATGCAGTGTGTGTAGCGGATTAAGTGTCTATGTGTAGTGAATGCATTTTGTGAATAGTGGATGCAATGTCTGTGTTTGTCTGGTGGATGCATTGTATCTAGGTAGTGCATGCAGTATGTGTGTAGAATGTGTGTTTGTGCAGTGGGTGCAGTGTGTGTGTGTAGTGGATTCCATGTTTGTGTAGTGGATGCAGTGTTTTTGTAGTAAATACAGTGTGTGTGTGTGTAGTGGATGCAGTGTGTGTATTTGTGTAGTCGCTACATGGTGTGAATTTGTGTAGTGCAAGCTGTGTGTGTGTATTTGTGTAGTGGGTGCAGTGTTTGTGTAGTGGATGCAGTGTGTGTGTAGTGCATGTAGTGTGTGCATTTGTAAAGTGATTGCAGTGTGTGTAGCAGATGTACTGTGTTTGTAGTGGATGTAGTGTGTGTGTTTGTGTAGTGGATGCAGTGTGTGGTGTAGTGTGTGTATTTGTGCAGTGGATGCAGTATTTGTATAGTGTATGTAGAATGTGTGCTTGTGCAGTGTATGTGTGTAGTGGATGCTGTGTGTGAAGTGCATGTAGTGTGGTTTTTTGGTATTGAGTGTGTGTGTGTGACCTGTTTTTGTTTTGTTTGTTTAACTAAGGTCATTCCAGTCTCCCTGCCTCTTACCGGTGGTCAAGAAGAGGCGAACACTGGATTCCCTGGTGGTCCAGTGGTACACCTCGTTGTATTGTAGTGGGTTGACCCGGGAGTCTTTTTACATGTCCCGCAGCATTTACACCTCTCTTCTCGTGAGCTGCGGGTTTCTATGACAACACTCAGCGCAGCCTTCCCGCAGCAGGCCCACTCTCTATTATGTTAAACAGGGCACCGGGATTTCATACATATGTAGCGATACTCGCTATATCTTTATGCAATACGGTGGCCAGGGCTCCTAGCAGCAGGTTAAAATATACATGGGCAGTGGAACCACTCGGGCCAATGGACGGGCTGATTCATACTACATTGGAACCTGGGAACTCGAACGTTTGAGAACCGAATCAACATTTCCCATAAAAATTTATGTAAATTTGATTAATCCGTTCCAGACCCCCAAAATTACTACATTCTAACACAAATTTTACAGTTTAATAATGCCTACATGCATAAAATCATATAGGAAAAAAATAAACACAATGTACAGTAAATGAAATGAAAATATAATTTCACTTTACCTGTAATGATGAGAGTTGATGAAGTAAGTGGAAAAGAGAAGATGTATTATTGTTTGGATGGGGATAGGTAACTGTTCTTCTGGCATTTAAAATGTGTCTAAAGTGTGTCTAATTGAACATGATTTGTTCGGGTACCGAGGATCGTTCACGTACCGAGACATTTTTTACCTGAAATTTTTGTTCGACTTCCGAAGTGTTTGAGAAAGGGACTGTTCGAGTTCTGAAGTTCCACTGTATATGCGAAGGTAGTTTTGACTTTCCTGGTTCAAATGTGCTGTAAGGTGTTTTTTTTTTTTTTTCATACCAGCAGGTTTCACTCTCAGACAACCACTTCTTGTGAACAAATAAGTGTAACTGTTGAAGTTTGCAGATTTATGTTATTTTGGTATCTGAATGTCTGAGAAGGAATAGCTTGAGCACAATATTGTCAATAAGAATAATAAATATAGAAATGCTTAATTTCTACCTTAAAATCTGCATTAAAAATAAAGATATGCACGAACAAAACCAGTGGTTTCTTTATTAACCCCTTAAGGACAGAGGTAATTGTACAAGTTCTGAACCAAAACAAAACTTAGAATTTTAACTATATGTCTGTTCAATCATAATTCACCTATTTCATATTAAGTGCATCTAAGCTTATTACATATAAATTTGTTCAGCAGAAATAGGGCCTTTAGTCATATACAATTCACATTATATATATATATATATATATATATATATATATATATATATATATATATATATATATATATAAAAAATTTAATATGAATAAAATCTTAAAAGGATCAAGAAATATTGTTATTTTTTTTCGTTCTGCATGGCATTTTAACTGTGAAAGTAATAATACTGTTAGCTTTTTATAATTTATGCAAATGCATGAAAAGGGTTGTCCTGTGGTACGTATAATTCATATTCTGCATAATTCTTCATTGCCTAGTTGCCTAATCTTTAACACCTTCTTCTGAATTCTAAATACTACAGGGCTACCCTTTTCATGTGCTCAATTTGTATACATGATATATGTCCTAGAACACATGGTGGATCTGGTCATCCTGAAAATAGGGCTTTCCTCAGTTTTTTATACATTGAAATTTGCCTGATTTATTTGCTGGGCATATGTTATGATTAAGACCGTATGACAGCCCAGGTATGAAAATTACACCTATCATGACATACCATTTGCAAAAGTAGACAACCCAGCATATTCAGAATGGGGTAAGTCCGGTCTTTTTTTTAGTAGTCAGTCACAAATTAGGCCAAAGTTAATGTTCATATTAGTCTTTCACCAATTATATCAATGTCATTATACGTTTTACTGCTCTAAAACACTCATATTTGTGTTCACGGTCACATGTAGCCCATGGATCAGCACAGCTAGGGAAGTGGGCCATGACAGAGCCAGGTGGTAGGCATAACAGCCACAGGAAGTCTGGGTGACAGCTAACATGCTGGGTGGGGCGGAGCCACGATGGGCGTATTTATACTGGCCATCTTATGAAGTGGCCATTTTAACTGAACCTAAACTAACCTGTCAGTTGTCCCTCCCACCCTCCCTGAATTTGGTTAGGTTAGATACTTTTCCAGTTTTTTCACAGCGGCAGGGAATGGCCAGGTTAAATCGGGGGGGCATCCTGAGGTTTAGTGTGGACCAGGCAGTTGGTATGTTGGTATGTTTGAGCCCTTCGGTGGCTCAGAGCCTGGGGTTGTAGCGGTGTCTTGGTACACCCTACACTGGAACTTGTGGGTAGCGGTGTCTTGGTACACCCCTACAATTGATCTGGTGGGTAGCGGTGTCTTGGTACACCCCTACAATCGATATGGTGGGTAGCGGTGTCTCGGAACACCCCTTCAATTTAACCTGGTGGAAATGTGGTCAAATTGGACGGCCAGTTTCTGTGTTAATGTTATTTAGATTGTTACCTATTATTATTGTGGGGTCATTGCCAGGGGTATGTTATGTATGTGGGGCAATGTTTACTTTAATAAGATTTGTTGGCAATTACTCCATTTGTTATTCCTTAATTATTTAATTAATAAAAGCTGTGGACTAATATTTCCAACAGTATAACCTGTGTATGTGTCTTAATGGGGGTTAGGGTAAGGTTAGCACATATGCCGGCAAATCCGACTGTGCGTCTGTCATAAGTACAATAATATTCCCCATGTACTGGTTTTATGTGGCTTTTAAAAATGTACAAGGTCAAATATAGGGCTTGTAAATGTAATTCTCTGCACTTATATAATTAATAAAAACACATAATTATGTAAAAATAATACACAAAATACATAAATATACATTAAATTGAATATATATATATATATTTTTTTTCCTTCTAAAAGTATTTTGCAATATTATAATATATATATATATATATATATATATATATATATATATATATATATTTTATCTCTCACCCAGCAAAATCCCAAATTAATACCTAAAATCTATCTATATAACAGGTAATCCTGAATGAGACCACTAAATTGAGCCCGTATTTGGCTTTATTATCCAGGACTTGGTATTCACTTGGAATAAAATGAAAAAGTGTGAAGAAATCCCCCTTTTGTACAATATTTCTCCCCTATTTCATTCGGTAGATTTAACTACCGAACAAAGACCACCCCCTGGCTCATTAAACTTCAAAGACTGCTTCAATTGAACCCTCTATCTGTGCGGCCAGCGTTCGTACTACCGAGGGGAACAATCGCTGCTGAGAGCCAGGGGGATCCATTCGGTACTTTATTCGCTTTTTCCCCTTTTACTAAAGTGACCGGCAAAACCCGGTGGGGATACCTCAAGTATAAATGGGTGTTTCAGATATTGGGGGAAAATTTGATTTTTCTGCCTGGAGATAATCAAGTTATTACTTTATCAGACCTGATTATCTCCAGGGCTAGGGGAGGGAATTGTGAGTGTGTGTTATGTTTTTATTGTGCCTGATTGATTAATCTTTGTCCCTCCCTGGGGGATATCCCCTTGCATGGGGACTTGCATAAAAGCCTGTGTGCAATCATTAAAAGTTAGTTCAGTTGTACCCTTCTTCTTGACTTCGGCTGATGTTTGGGGATTCGTGTGCTTCACTAAGGGAATTATCTTATGAAGCTATTGGGATTACTATACGGTTCGTCTACTTTATCTACCGAACGGAGAGCTATAATCACTGATGCTCTGGCAGTTCGGGAGGAAACTACCGAATGAGGTTTAAATATACTTGGTTTCCTTACACTAAGTAGCCAATAAGAGATATAGTGTAGCCAAATCTCTTCTCTATAGGCCTGTCGTAAAGATAAAACATTTGTACACAGAAAAAAGTATGGAATGTAACATGTATAAGTACTGACCTTCCACAGATAGATACCAATAATGCTAATATAGTATCAAAATAAATTTTAAAATACTATAAAAGAAAAAAAAAAGATGGAGGATTGTTTCACATGCCATCGCTACTCAAAGGGAGGACTCCAAAGAGGAAGCTTGATATTTGATAGGGTCAGAAATGATGAGTCGATAATATTTTGGTAGTATTATTGACAATAAGCAGAACTGAAAACAATAAAGCTGACCTAGATAACTCTCTAGTCATAAATAATATTATGTGTGGCAAAGATTTAAAGGGACACTATATAAACTTCAGCTTAATGAAGTTGTTCAGGTGAGAACAATAGCTCACTGCAGCCTTTCTTCTGTAAACACTGTATTTTCTGAGAAGATATAGTGTTTACCTTGGAAGCCAGGAACACTTCCAGTGGCAGTCACTCAGACGGCCACCAGAGGGACTTCCCAGTTCAGGGCTGCCTAACTCACTTCATCATGTTTGGTGTCTTCACGCTTAGGTGAATACATCAAACGTGATAACAGGAGACAGGAGGCACTGTGAACACACCTCCTGCTTCCTGTAGTAACCTGGAGCCTGTCAGCAGTCAGAGCCGACAGTGTTGGAGATAACATCTCCTGCACACAGAGTCGGCTCGAGCTGACAGGCAGAAGGCAGGAGGCTGCAGAGATCTCCTGACTTCAAACAGTAAGTACACATATTTTAAAAGTAAGTGTGAGTGAGTGAGTTTGTGTGTGAGTGAGTAAGTTAGTGTGAGTGTGTGTGTGTGAGAGAGAGTGAGTTAGTGAGAGTGAGTGAGTGAGTTAGTGTGTAAGTCAGAGAGTGTGTGTGAGAGAGTGAATAAGAGAGTGAGTAAGAGAGTTAGTGTGTGAGTGAGTTATTGTGAGTGTGAGTGAGTTTGTGTGTGAGTTAGTGTGAGAGTGAGTGAGAAAGAGATTGAGAGAGAGTGAGAGTGAGTTAGTGTGAGAGAGAGTGAGTTAGTGTGAGAGTGAATGAGTTAGTATGTGATTTAGTGTGAGAGTGAGAGAGATTGAGAGAGTGAGAGTTAGTGTGAGAGCGAGTGAGTGCGTGTAAGTGTTATTGTGAGTGTGAGAGAGTGAGTGTGAGTGAGATTATTCTCACTCAAACACACACTCTCACTCTCTCACACACACACACACACACACACACACACACACACTCTTTTTGAGCGAGAGTGAGATGGATTAATGGATGGATTAATCCATCCCTCCTCCTCTATCCATCCATCCATCCCTCTCCTATTTCGTAATTTTGACTAAAAAAGGGGGCGTGGCCTGCCGAGGAGCTTGGCACTGGAACGGAGGTAATTTTTATCTACAATAAGGACTCTAAAATCATTTTTAATAAGGTTAAGTTAATATAAAAGCAAGAAACAAGGCGAAGGGACCTGTCTTTCTTACTTTTATATGTAGACTATAGTGCTCCTTTAAAAGAGCTTATAAGATATAAAATAGACTCTTTGATTTTCTGCCAATAGAGGTGATCCCAGGAAATATTAGGGATATTAACATTAGAAATTGGCAAAATGAAGAAATTCAGACTGTTAGGGATTGCCTATTAGAATCAGAAATTAAGTTGTTTAACCAGTTACAAGTGGAGTATTGGCTCTTGATTGAAGAGATCTTTACATACCTGAGAATTAAAAAAAAAAAAAAAAAAAATTGGGAAAATACCTAGAATTTAATTTGGAAAACAATAAAAAGTCTGAAAACTATTCTCAGCAATCCATACCAAGAGGACAGGTATCTAGGTGTTTAGACATGGTAAAATAATTAGATAGATAATAGTTTTAATCCCAAAAAGTCCCCAAAAATCTCCTAAAATATACAAAGAGACATAATTAGTGCTGGAGATGTGATGTAGGAAATGAGGATGTGACAGAACCATCTGTCTGGCTATTGTGGTGGATTTGTCTATTTCTGCCCCCTTTCGTGTAAATGGCTGTTTCTATAGCCCAGCCATACGAATGGCTGTTTTCAACGATCAAATCTACCGAACGGATGGCCACCCAAGATAGAAGTGTGCTGCTGGTTAACCTCTTGATCCCAATTAGAACGTTGTGGTTAACCGCAGACACTTCTCAATTAAACCGAATTCAGGGTGGCCGTCGTTCGTATGTCGACCACGAGGCAGCGGCCATTTTAAAACACACGAAAGCCCAGCGGTGTTTGGCACTGATTTCATGGAACTAAAAACGTACACTTTTTCTGCCGAACACCCCTGAAACAACGGGTCGCCTGGCTGCCTCAACGAAAGTGTGCGAACACCGGCCGTTCGGGAGTTTTACAACACACGAAAGGACTTAACCCAGATAGCCCTTCCATGGAGTCAATCACATACCGAAAGACTGTAAGGACTTTGACTCCATGGCGATTGAACTATGTGTGTGGGATCTGAGCGCTATTCGCCAATAATATGCACTCAGATCCAGGCTATCTGGGGATATATGATGCGAATGGGAAATGTTCGGTTATTTTAAAGTTATGTATTTTCCAGTATTTTATTCAAGATGGCGATTTGTCTTTGTCCTGGAGATAATTGAATTACTTCTCAATTATCTCCAGGGCAGAGGGGAGGAAACCATATTGCATTGTGGGAAAAGGTTACATCTGTATGTCTGAAATGTCCCCATGTCTATCTGTCATTACAGTCTCCCATTTGGTCCCCTAGGGGAGTGTCCACCAAGTGGGATACCTGCATAAATACGGGCAGGTAGCCCACAGTAAAGCCAGATCCTGTTTGACCCTCAATGCGGAGCTTCTGTCTCGTTATTGGGGGGATTTCTTATTTGCGCTTAGAGACTGATTATTGGAACCGAAAGCCACTTGGTGGATATCGTTGTTTGGCAGCTAGCAGCAGTTCGTGGATTTCTGTTCGGGAGTTTGGAGCCTTTCACGGATCCCGGTCGGGAGATTACCGCTTCCCCTGATGGTGGTTCGTATACTACAGTCTATGCGAACGGAGTTACTGATATTGCGAAAGGGGAAGGTTAACTAAACGGCGGTTTCTCTTAAAGACACCAGGGGTGTCTTAACAGAGGATTATCTCCATATCTGGTGGCAGTGTGAGTCACTAAAAAAGGTATGGGAGGACCACTATAGGCACCCAGACCACTTCAGCTTAATTAAGTGGTCTGGGTGCCAGGTCCAGCTAGGTTTAACCCTTTTTTCTATAAACATAGCAGTTTATAATAGGGTTAATCCAGCCTCTAGTGGCTGTCTCATTGACAGCCGCTAGAGGCGCTTCTGCGCTTCTCACTGTGATATTCACAGTGAGAAGACGCCAGCGTCCATAGGAAAGCATTCAAAATGCTTTCCTATAGACAGGCTGAATGCGCGCGCGGCTATTGCCGCGGCTGCGCATTCAGCCGATGACGTCGCTATGGAGGAGGAGAGGAGGAGGAGAGTGCCCCGCCCGGCGTTGGAGAAAGAGGTAAGTTTTTTTTTTTTTTGTAAATCTGTTTTTATTAGGTAGAGTAATGGTAATACAGCTTATTCGATTCAGTGTTCAGCAGATTGAGGTCACGTACGACCTGTGTGTATCTGCTGCAATATGTTCAAATAAGGCACAAGCATAACATTCGTTCCTGAGAACAACTCCGTTGCCACTTAACATTATGGCAATCTAGATAAC